CTTATTATGATTAATGTGCGGTGTATATTTTAATTAACACCACACAAGGGTGGATTTTCAAAGTTGAGAAAGCAAGTTAGTTTTTCTAACACGAGGGAGAAACTGGATAAATAGTTGAGAAAAAGTTGCGTGAAATGAATTATTATTTGTACATCATGATCCTCGAATAAGATAATATGAACTTGAAGTTCATAAAAGATAATTCATCTGCAATATATTGCAAAGCATGCCAGACGCATTTGCTAACCAAAAGAAAGTAACTATATTCTCACTGCAAATGCTAATATTAGAACAAGTCCTAGAAGGACAAAGTCTATGGTATACTTAAAACGTATAGACAAATTGGTTTCAAATAAAATTCTTGATAAAGAAGATGAGCAAATGATCATAATAAGGAGGCAAGTGATCTAGAAGATCACATGACATAATACTTCATAAAATTTCAGGAGAGGTTCAGGTACCTGGAAATATGAATGAAGAGATCTCTATGTTATGTCTTTATGAAAAAAGGAGGTTGAAACTGATATAAAATATTTGTCGACGACATCTCTGATAGCGCTAAGTATAGATGAGGACCTTAAGTCTGTCGAGTACAGACACAAAAATATTAGCCAAATGGAAGAGACAAAATACGAATAGAATTGGTTTCATATGAAAGACATGTAGTTCAAACACTTGAAAGTATAAAGTCAATGGTATGTGCAATCACTTTTATCTATCTTATATGTCTAGCATGACATAAAAATTTGATATGTATCGAAAGTCCATTCATATGGCTTATATGACTTAACTTATATGACAATCCCTAGAGGATTTAAATTGCTTAAAGCATATAGAATTTTTGGTCAAGAAGTACTACATCATAAGTGAATTTGTGTACATTTGTATCTTGCTATATCTATAAGCATGATAATATGATGCGAGAATTTTTACCTCTATGGAGATATTGAAAAGGTCATTCCACGACATTATATGAAGACATTATATATCTATCAAGAATGATTATTTCAAGGTGCTACATATTCATTGAAGTTAGTATGGATGATTTATTCACCAAATCTCTGCCAACATCAACCTTCAAGAAGCTGGTGCACAAGATTGGAATGTGAAGACTCAAGGATGTGAATTGATGCTCTCATTAGCGGGAGTTAATACGCGTTGTACTCTTTTTCCTTACAAGGTTTTGTCCTACTGGGTTTTCCTTGCAAGGTTTTTAACGAGGCAACCAAAAGGCGTAATGTTAGATATGTGTACTCTTTTTCCTTTACTAGAATTTTTTCCCACTGGGTTTTATTTTAGTTAAGGTTTTAACGAGGCACATTATCTCTTGAATAGACATTCAAGGGGGAGTGTTATAAATAGAATTGTATTTAAGGTGAATGTCTATATTTTAGAGAGATTTTAGGGTTTGTTACTTGATGGCTAAGTCACTTTTCCCCTATAAATAGAGGGTTCTATTCCATTGTAATTCATCCCAAATCAATAAGAATTCTCGCTCTCTACTTTTGTCTGCAATACTCCCCTTCTTTTTTTATTGTTTCATAACAATTACCATTAAACTATAATTAATTGATATACATTCTCACCTTAGAATATCATTTACCCATTAATAAATTAATATGATTTGACATAAATATTTGATGCGAGTTAGTTTTTACCGATTTATATGTTTTTAATTGTAGTATGTTAATGCCATCTCCGATAGCTAAGGTAGAAAACAATGATTAGAAATTGGCAAAACTTTCATAGTCGAAAATTTAAAGAGAAAATAAATGATGATAGGAATTTAAATATACTAACTTGAAAAAAAGAAGATATATTGCAAGTGTAATATGGATACGAATAAAGACAGGATATATCTTGGATTATGATATAATGGCTCGAAGTCCTTAACTTCTTTATATAAATATAGAAGATGAACAAATAATTACCGGTGGTTGGGGGAAAAAAATTAGTTGAGAAAAGAAGGTACGAGTCTGATCCTCTTTGTACAATGTTTTATTATGAATAACTACAGTTCATTAATTATATTTATAACACTATGTAGGGCTGTGTTGGTCAACCTATTATTGGTGTACCGTTATTGTGAATTTGATACGACTTTAGGAAGCAAGTTAGAAGGTAAGTTTACTCCAATACTACATGTTTAAATTATAATAAATACTATATGTGGATGAACCCTTTTCTATTCATATAAATTTGTGGGACATCATTATCATTATGGAGTAGGGTTGGACTGCAATTATAGGATAGTTATGTCAAGCTTAAGAAGGAAATATTTCATTGCATGTAAATGCATTAGAGCATAAATATACTTATTTACTATTTATGGAATAATCATGAAATTATTTTAGATGTGCCGTCATCAGAGATTGTTCGAGTCAGAAAATATTTTCCATGTTCTCGACTATAAGAAAACAATTTATTAAATTTTTTTTACATGAATTTAGAAAATTCTAGGGATTCTTTTTGAAAAGGGAATTGGAATCGGTGCTTTAAAAGGCGGGGACGTGAGGTGAGATGTTTTACTTAATATGGGGCAAGGCGAAAGCCTCGAGACATGGGGCGTAATCCCCATGGATCTTTAATTTTTTAAATTTATGAATTCATAATATAGTATTATAACACAATAAAAAAATAAAAAAGATACATTAAAAGTTCAAAAAATAAAAAACAATTAAAGGAACTCATATAAAATAAAATATTTAGCATGTTTTACAAGTATAAATAATACAATATTGTTAAAGTTACTATAAAATATAAATTAACTATAATCTCTTAACTTCCAAAAAATTAAAAATTATAATTTCTTGAAAAAATATTATCAAACTGCATATTTTACTTCTTTAAAAGCAAATACTCAATAAATTTTATCAACACTATAATTTAAAATATTACTCCTTCATGAGTAAATATAAAATTATTTTTAAATAGTAAAATAAGAAATGTATGATAATTTTGAAAGACATAGAACTAAGGCATGAAGATCTATCAAGTAAAGATATAAATTTTGTTCATCTATTTTTAAAAGAAATATTCAAATGATATCCACCCTCACGATGTTTTCAATTAGTAAATATGCAATACTACTATGGTTCATTATTTGGGTTATTCATAATTTTTATATTCCTATAGATAAAAAGAACTTTAATCATTCATTTATTAAAGAATTTTAAGAGTTAACGGTGTAAATTAATGAATTCAACACATGATTTGCATAGGAACTATTGAGCGAGTCCCGAACGTTGAAAATGTCAATTTCAAATCTAAGGGGCTAATAAATATATGATACATGACGGTCATTTTCGAATTCACTCCCTTATCCTAGAGCACTTCCGTGTTTTCGTTTTCTTCGTTTAAAATATTTCTCCTTTTAGGGCTGGACCAGATGACGAACTGAGTGACCATAGCCATAGCCAGTGGCGGAACTACCTTACACCCTTTCTTAGGAAAAATACACTGTGTAGGTAGATAACAAAATAAATTATATGTATATATACTATATATTAACTCTCCTTAATTTCCTGGTATGTTTATATTTATATATTTTGATACCCTTAACAAAAATTATGTCTCCGCCACTAATCATAACCGTACGCCTCACCTTAAATGATCCAATGATTAAGAATAGCAGAGAAATTTTCCTCGTTTTTAGTTCAAACACTCGTCTGGCTGCTAATTCTAAGGTAAGTCCAAAGATGAGTAATTGATAAGCATATAGGCTAATTCTAAGCACGGTAAACAAACAAGCTAAAGACTAAATCATCTAAAAGAAAGAATTTTATTAGCTACAGAAAATAAAGAAGCAGAAATCGGAATATGATAAATCAAAACAGTAGGTATTAATGAATTTGTTGATAAATAGACAAAAGCATTATTTTATCACCCCCATGTCTTCTAGTTCAAGTTATCATTTATTGAACCTCTAACTAAAATTAAGAAAACAAAAGGACCGCAACAGCTCCACTACGGAAATATTTAATTGAAAACAAACAGGAAAAAAATTCAACCAAATATTTCTTTTATGGCGATATCACCTAGTTGTAACTAAACAAATTTGGTACCCTTTTAATCCAGGGTGTGTTTTGTAGAGAGGAAAATATTTTTTTGATAAAATATTTATCAATTTTTTCATGTTTGATTGGTTAAAATGTAAAACAAGCTCCTTATAATCTAGAAATTAATTTCCTAGTAAGAATAGTAAAAAAAAAAATTAAAAAAATAATGTATTTAGTCTTTTGATTATTGTAGGGATCATGAGACAACAAAATGTACGACCGACTAAGTAAAAGAAAGGTCTTACACGATGTAATATAAGCGGATGAGTTATTTATAATTAGCTTATATGTGACTTTTTTGCTCTCTCAATAATGATAGGAAAAACAAGTTACATAAGCGGCTATTTCACAACTGATAGTCTCCTCCATACCCCCAAACACTCCACCTCACAGTCCGACCCCGAACCCCCTCCCAAGACCCCCTCCCCTAATGTCACTTCCCCACCCTACCCTCCGCTCCACCTCCCCATCCCCACCCTCACACTCCCCTACCCCATCGTGAAACCCTACCCCACCTCTCGTCTCATAACGCCGATCACCCCTCACTCCTTAGTCCATATAGTGTTTGCCTAGATTATATATAAATGATTTTGAAACAATATTTTCTATTTACTATCAAATTTAAAAAAACAAGATAAGAAAATTACTTATTTTTCAGGACATCCTAGTAAAACTTGTATGTTACCGTACGAATACGATTAGATGTGAGATTTAGTGAACCTCTAATCAAAGGGAAGAGTCCATTTGTCTTAAATGATAATTTATTTGCCATTTATCATAACGAAGAAATGAACTCGAAAGAAATTAGATGAGTACAAATAATTTATATATTCAACTCAACTAATTTGAGATGAAGAATTTAAAATTCGAAATCTCTCATATGAGAGAAGACATTACTCATAAATTACTCATAAATATTCTCCGGGCCCAACGGCACCCAATATCTACTACACGAGCAACGGACTTTACGTGGCCCAACTCCCCTATTTCACGGCCCAAAGCTAATTTCGCTCCCCGAGAAAATTCACCTTCAAAAAGCTCTCCACTCTCTCTTCTTCTCTCATTCTTCTTCTGCTTCGCCTGAGCCCAAATGGAGCCATGGCTCGATGACTTAGCCGATGACCTTCAAAGCATCAGCTTCAACTCTACCACCACTTCCACCACCACTGACATTAACCGCTCCACCAGTTCCGGTTCCGAAGCCACGTGGACTGCAACCACCGCCTCTTCCTCTTCCTCCTCCTTTAACCAACATGTCATTAAACCACGCGCCACCACTCCCTCCGGCGACCCTTACTGGGACGCCATTACACGTGTCATTTCCACTTCTCCTTCCTCGTTAATTTCCCTCAACGACCTCCGCTTCCTCCATCGCCTTGGCTCCGGCGACATCGGTTCCGTATATCTAGCAGAAATTAAAACTCCGGCGCCGGAAAGTTCGTCGAAGGCGTCGGCGGCAGCTTACTTCGCGGCGAAAGTTATGGATAAGAAGGAACTGGCGGGCCGTAATAAGGAAGGAAGAGCGAGGACAGAACGGGAAATACTCGAAATGTTGGATCATCCTTTTCTACCGACGCTTTACGCCTCCATTGATTCGCCGAAATGGTCGTGCTTGTTGACGGAGTTTTGCCCCGGCGGTGACCTTCACGTCCTCCGACAACGTCAGCCGGCCAAACGCTTCCCTGAATCCGCCGTCAGGTTTGCTCCTTACTACGCTCACATTACACTGAAAAACTCTTACTATTTGAAATGATCTCTAAATATTCTTTCATATTTATATATAATATGTTGGAGAAATTTATCGACTGTAATCTCTTCTATTTTCAAATTCTAAAAAACTCGAAGAAGATGACAGTGACGTGTCTGAGGGGGACCCACCACCTGGGGAGGAGCTGGTGATTGTCAGTAGTAGGGGCCATCTAGTTGGTCACTGAATCAACTTCTTCGATCTTCTTCTCTTTACTGACGGAACACAGGATCTATGGTGGACTGTCGTACATTGGATCCTTGAAAGAATGGTAACTAAGGAAGAAAATTTGTATAGGTCATAGGCACACGTGTCCCAATAGGACTTTAAACTTCTGAGTTCTGATAGTCGGCTAAAACTCAGATTTTGAGCTCAGCCAATAAGCAACAGACACGTGGTTAGGCGTATGTTCTCACACCATTGAATAATGCTAAATGTCTCGTAATTGATTCTAACCTTAATGAATAACTTTTTGTAGGTTTAACAAGAACTCTTTTGGCCCCGTTTGACCATGAATTTTCCCAAAATAAATTTGGGATTTATTTTCAAAACTCATGTTTGGCCATAAATTTTGCTCATATTTTGGCCAAATTCCAAATCCCAAATTTTAAATCCCAAAATCAGGTATTGAGCTGATTTTGGGCCAAAATCTCAAAACTTGGTAATTATATACATGTTTTTTCAAAATAAAGTTTGAAAATATGTTTTGAAAACGTATGTCCAAATATATTTTCATCTTCAAATCAAATTTCATCCAAATCAGATTTTTCAAAATAAATTTGGGATCTGTGGCCAAACGCTAGTTTTATTTCTGTTTAACAAAAAAACTTGTTTCACATAATTTTGTTTTGGGTTTTACTAATCACCGTTTGGTTCATCGGTTGAGGAGTGTGTTGCCCGTATACTATTACTCTCTCCGTTTAAAAAAAATTATTTTAGTTAGACTTGGCATAAATTTAGTAAAGAAGGAAGACTTTTTAACATATGTGATCTTAAATAAATTATAGCATTTGTGTGACCGTAAAATTTTTAAAAATTGTAGGTCCGAAACTTGCTATAGCATCTGTGTGGCTGTAGATCCTTCCTCTTAAGGGAATATTGAAAAGTATTAATTTTTTTTAAACAGACTTATTAGGAAATAATGACAAAAAGAAGGAGTATATATTACTTACCAAGTATCTTCATCTACTCGTATGTTTTATAGTTGACCTAATGGGGTGCATGTGGGAAGGGATTGACTTAATCACGTGCCCTCTGCTTCATCCTTATGTTTTCTAATTTTTGAAGATTTGTTTAAATCAAAATCGGTAATAATTCAAATATTTTAATATTCTACGTGTGCTGTGTTTTGGTAAATGATGGAAAATGTTCTATTCTGATTTTCATGGGCGTTGGTTGATGGTTTATTAATTGCTCCAAAGATTGACGGTTACTCCCTCCGTTCATCCCACTTTAATTGTCGTTTTACCTCTTTTCAAGCGTATAAAGTGTAGTTGAAATATAAATTTAGTTTGCTAAATATTTTTTGAGAATTAAGCAGTATTAAAAAGAGCTGCTATTTCTTTAATATTAAAAGTATAGTTGAAAATAATTGCAGACTTAGTCTTGAATTTTTAGCTCCCATTTTGCCGTAAAATTTGGAAGCTTTTTGTTAAATTTTGTTTTCAAATATCTGTTAACTTATAGATTTAAACTATTTTTATCATATTTAAAAAAAAAAAATCTTCAAATTCCAAAATAGCTCTAGAGTAGTTTTTGGAGTTTTCTAGTCAGAAAACTTCAAATTCTTTTCAAGTAAAATGCATGTCCAAACACAATTTGAACTTTCAAAAAATATTTTTCATCTCATCTTTAAAAACTTATTTTTTCAAGTTTCAACAAAATCTATGTCTCAACGCTAGCTTAAAGTGTAAATTTTTGGGATGGTTCTTTTTTTTTTTTTATAGCTAAAGTGACTATTAATTTGGGATGGAAAGTAGTATTCTCGAGGGAAGCTTTGTAGCAAAAAGTGAAAGACCTAAAATAAATTACAAGTCCAAGTTTAATGTGCCAAATTAACTTTTGTGAGAATTTTGTAGGTTGTCCGGTTATCACATATCATTCCCAAAATTAGGGGAATAGTCAAACTGTCAAAAAGTAAGGGAAAAGTAATTAAGATGCATTTCCATTAATTTTTCCGGAATATCAGGGATATCGAATTTTAACGTGGGGAATATTAATCTTGACGACCTTTTATTTCTCTCAATGTTCTTTACCATAGTGGTCCCTTATGGAGTATTACGGTAAGTTGATTTGTATAGAGGCCCTATATAATACTATTTCTATAATTGACAAATATGCCATGTTGGTACACAAGTTATACAGATGATGACAACCTAGCTAGACCTAGAAGAATGTAACTAGAAGGAAAGTAGTGGAAATGATCCAACTCTAATTTCTCTAGCTTAGTTTAGCAAGTAGTTGTGATTGAGCTTAAAACAAGGTCCTGGAGATTATAACTTTTTTCTGACTTGACATTTCACTGCCTGAATTTGGGACTTTATGATTTGGAAGGACGTCTCTTTTGATTATGTATGACCCGTTGTCTCTCTTGAAACATAAAAGCAAATTAGATAACTCTATCGATTAAGGGCCAAAATTGAAAAGAAAAAAAATATGATGTGTATTATTATACTAAAATAACGTCTGCGTATACACTCCACTTGTGGGATTACACTAGGTGTGTTGTTGTTGTTGAATGTTTAGTTCTTGAAAACATCAATCATTCTGATTAGAAGAATAGATGGGAAGTAATATTCTATAATAATTTAATTCCTGCCAAAATGCAATATTACCTACTGAACTGAGCAGAATTATTGGGCTACAGAGTAGTAGTTCCTTCTTGGTTCCTCTGTTTACTGTTCGGCCTACAATATGCCACGATTGATGGTTGAGTAAGCCATACCTTTTTAACTAATTTGTGGGTTGTTTACTCTAATCTACTTGCATTTTCTTTTCATTTTTCCTCATAATGAATTGCCATTATATTTTCAAGAAAATATATTTACTATGATATAGGAAAGGAAAAATATCCTTGATAAAAACTACAGTAATGGAAAGTCCTTGATATTCTCATATGAAATAACTTTTTCTTCTTCTGTGGATATCCCACGAACTTCTTTTTCCTTTTTATTATAAATCTAGTACACGATGTAATCATGTTACACTTGTGGAAAGCAACTAAACGAAGAACACAAAAAGGAGAAGAAGACAGTAAAGTTGCGCCATGATATAGGGACAATGTGCACGGACCCAGTTCTTTTAATCTTGCTACGTTGCATGGGGAAATAGTGAGGGTCCAGGATTCCACATAATAAAATAATATACTATCTTTATAGAAGCACATTGGTCCCCTCCTCATATTATAGAGTTGAAAGTTGAAACAAAGTGCTGCTTTGTGCACCTGTAGAGTACATCCATTTTACTACAGTTTTTTTCCTTTAATTCCCTCGTGCATCCATCAGTTGTATCATGATTTTACCCGCAAAGAAGTTTTAAAATTTCATTCATTTGCCTCTTTTTATATTGTTGTCCACACGTATCTAAAGAATTTAAATTAGATAGACTAACCTTATCAAGCATTTAAACTCTCAGCGTAATTTTACTTGTTATTGAAGATTATTTACCAGTTATTACGTATAAGTTACCAATGAATGTTCATTATATAGAGTTATTTGTAATTACCTTTTCTTATACGATGAGTGCATGGAACTTAAGTTCATATTATAAATTGCTTGTGCGTACGTTAGACTAATTTCATGGTGTCTCCAGGTTTTACGCGTCTGAGGTGGTGGTAGCATTGGAGTACATTCACATGATGGGAATTGTTTACCGTGATTTGAAACCTGAAAATGTTTTGGTGCGATCAGATGGTCATATCATGCTCACTGATTTTGATCTCTCCCTAAAATGCGATGACTCCACATCAACACCAGCTCAAGTGATTTCAAGCCAAAATACGCCTAATGGAACTCAACAAAATGAGTACAAAATTGAACCACCAAAATTTACATCTTCTTCATGTATCCTTCCTAACTGTATAGTACCTGCTGTTTCATGCTTCCACCCAAAAAGGAAGCGAAAGAAGAAGCCCGGCCATCTCGGTGGGCCTGAATTTGTTGCTGAACCAGTCGATGTTCGATCAATGTCATTCGTGGGAACTCACGAGTATTTGGCACCAGAGATCGTGTCAGGCGAAGGCCATGGTAGTGCAGTTGATTGGTGGACACTAGGGATTTTCATATTTGAGTTGTTATATGGTGTAACACCCTTTAAGGGGATAGACCATGAACTAACACTAGCTAATATCGTGGCTCGAGCCCTTGAATTCCCTAAAGAGCCAGCAATCCCGACCCCAGCTAAAGACCTGATATCATCACTACTTACAAAGGATCCAGCTAGAAGGTTGGGGTCAACTATGGGTGCCACAGCAATCAAACACCATCCATTCTTCCAAGGAGTCAATTGGGCACTTTTAAGATGTACATCACCACCATTCACTCCTCCTCCCTTTAGTAAAGAATTTCTGTCTGATGGAAGTTGCCTTGATACCCCAGTGGAATACTACTAGTAGTGTGAATAAAGATTCAAAAGTCAATTTTTGGACCAGATAAGTTACAAACTTACAGCTTCATTTCTTCTGGCTACAGAAAGGAAGAAAGAAAGCTATTTGTGGTGGACTTTTCTTGGAGCTTAATTACTTGGCTGGAGCCTGGAGATAATAGGCTAGCAAATGAATATTTATCAATACAACAATATCTGGAAATGACCCACCAAGGCGAAATATGAGGTTATTGCATTACATCAAAATCATAGTTTTTGTTGTTGTTTGCTAGCCTATGGCTCGCTTGCAATAATAGGTGGACAAAGGAAGGTTCATTTTCCATTCTTTTATCTCAAAGTCAATGGCTTTGTCGGAAACATCGGATCTTGACAAAATACATGTAGACATGGATACACAATCAAAGGGCCGGTGGGCTGAGGGGTTTGGTTGGTTGGTGGGTGGTGGAGGTTGTAGAGTGGATCAAGGATGGCCCTGCCCCATGTTTTTTGCTACTCTTGTTCTTTTCCTTATGGAAAAGCATGATGTTTCCATGTGAGTTGTTTATTTATTAGCATTTGTAAGATTGTAGGATACTTATGGGTGCCTTGTGAATTTTTTTTAATTATATAAATGTCTTTACATAAATAATAATCAGTGCCGGCTCAAGCCTATGCTTTAGGCCCCCAATACTTTAAGGCCTCAAAATTAGTACTACTATATCAAAAAATAAATTTTGTATAACTAAATTTTTGTCATTTGTAGATGTAGTAATTCAGTCATGTATATCTAATAATTAAAACTATTCCAGTTTATTTATTTTTCTTCACATAAATCACATATTTTTAGGCTCTCGTGTTTTAATTGGGAGGCAGTGGGCCTACAAGTGACCAAAAAGTATTTTTTTTTCTTTCTTCGATCTTCAGCTAAATCAGTTCATGTTCTTTATAAAATCAAATTCTCTTTTTTTCACTCCTCGTACTAGCTCATCTATCTATTCTGCCAAATAACAAGGGTATTGAATAATTTGAGTAGCATAACCTTTTTTTTTCTTCCTCACGTTTTTCTCAAACTCTCAGTCCCGATAAAAATATATAAAAAAATTATTGAATATCTCTTAGGCTTCTTATTAAGGTTTTGCTTTAGGCCACCGTATTGATTGAGCCGCCTCTGATAATAATGGTATTATTAGTTTCATAAACTTTAAAATGTTGCATTGTTGCTAATATTTTTATGAAGAATTAACCTAAATAGCTGCTACTTAAATTAAAAATAGTTTGAGGATGTCATTATGTTTGATTTATGTACAATTAGTAAAAATCTATGTATTTCGGCTAAAAAGAAATTGAATAATGAATACAATCGATTACTTATATAAAGATCACTATTTTTTTATCAATGGTGTTCGGTAAGTTGTGTGCACTTCGACTATATTCTGTTAGGTACCAGGCTAATGGGAGAAATCACTTATGATTTTTAATATTAATGTTAATTATTTTGGTAACATTAATTTGTTTATTATTGATGTTTACTGCTTACGTGCTTTATTGAATTGGTTTGATTTGGTTAATTGGTTTGTCTGATCATCGTTTTGACCGTCTTGGGGAAAGAGTTAACTATGGAGAAAAGCGTAACCACCTTTTCTACCGTACTACTTTAAAAGGAGAGGATGGGAAAGAGGGAGATAAAGCTCCTTTTGGACAATTTGATTTGGCTAATTGTGATTATTGTAACTTCATTAGAGGAAAAAACAAAACATATTTTATAGCTTCTTTGTGGAGTCTTGAGGTGTGATTGGAAGTAATGGCCATCAACTTTTGGTGTGTAATTAGGAATTAGAATGTGGCCTACTTCAAATGACAAGGTTGGGTCTACTTCAAAAGCGCAATCACCTTTTCTACCGTAATACTTTAAAAGAAGAGGATGGGAAAGAGGGAGATAAAGCTCCTTTTGGACAATTTGATTTGACTAATTGTGATTATTGTAGCTTCATTAGAGGGAAAAATAAAACATATTTTATAGCTTCCTTGTGGAGTCTTGAGGTGTGATTGGAAGTAATTGCCATCAACTTTTGGTGTGTAATTAGGAATTAGAATGTGGCCTACTTCAAATTACAAGGTTGGGTCTACGCACGAGGGTCACAGTTCCTACAAAAGGAATGAGACAGAGTTGGAGTCGGGGACGGTATCAACCACTCCAAACTTGCTCCCCCATCAATTATGTGCATATTCAAATATCATTAAAGATTAATAAATATTTTGGATGGAATGAATAAGATCCTTCCACTTTAATTATAAATCTCAAATTCAAATCTCGAAAATGAAAAAAAAAACTGATAGAGAGCATTTAGAGCCTATTTGGACATAAGAAATTTTTAACTTTTTTTCAAAAAAAAATTCACTTTTTTCAAAATCGGTGTCTGGCCATAAAATTTTTAATTTTCACCTGAAGGTGAATTTTGAAATTTTTCGAAACTTTGAAAACCTCAAAAAAAAAAGTTAAATTTTCACTCAGATCACTCAACTTAAAAAACAACCCAAAATTATATTCATATCCAAACACAACTCTAATTTTCAAATACCATTTTCACTTAAAAAACAAAATTTACTTTTTTTTTGGAATTTCACAATTCTTATGTCCAAACGGCCACTTAGAGCCCGTTTGGACATAAGAAATTTTTTCCTTTTTTCAAAAACATTTCACTTTTTTTCGAAATCAACATTTGTTTATAAAAATTCCAATTTTCACTTGAAGATGCATTTTGGAATTTTTCGAAAATTTGAGAAACTCCAAAAAGCTATTTTTCAAAATTTTCACTCAGATCACTCACAAAACTTCAAAAACAACCCAAAATGATATTCATGTTCAAACACAACTCTAAATTTCAAATACCATTTTCACTTGAAAAAAAAAATTCACCTTGTCGATGCCCCCTTTTTCCAAAGGCGAAATCGGGTTTACGACATTTGGGCGGACAACTCTATTCCTTTTGGGAATTTGGGTTTGAGATTTAGAAGAGTCGCCACCTAATGATTAAGTGCATTAGGACACTAAGAATTTAAAAGAAAGAAGAACTAGAGAATGGGTAAGGGCTTGAAATTATCTCAGGGGGAAGGTGTTAGGCACCCCCCAAGATCCACTAGTGTGGTTCCCGGCCATGTTACAATTGTGACTTTAAAACAAGTAAACATACAAGACAACTTCCACATAACGATTACAAGTAGGAATGT